ACCCGCAGAGGCCGCGCCCTCCGCCTTCTCATCCCGCACCGGTAGTCCTGCTCTCCGCACCAGCAACTCGCTTCTTCGCACTCGAGCTTGCAGGGTAAATACAAACCTTAAAAGAAAAAAACTGATTTTCCCTGGTGCTGTCCTTTTCTTAAGAGAATTTGCTTTAGAAAATTGTAATCGCAAATTCTTTCTCCGTCTTTTTGAGATATAGGTAATGTTTTTAAAAGCTAAGCACTTCTTTCGGGCTTTGCACCTGGGCAGTGTCTTCCCAAGGACCTGGGAGCACGTCCCCGGCCGCTGGCCCGGAGCGCCCGCGTCCCGCTGCAGCGCCGCCTGCCGCCCGGAGACGGAAGCGCGGCGCTCCGGCCGGCACTGCGCACGCCAGCCCGCGCGGCCGCCTCCGCGCGCCTTCGCGCCTGGCGCCTCGCCCTCTGCTGTCGCCCGCGGGGAGGTTCCTTTGGGGGTGGCAGGTTTGCCTTTCATCGCAGTCCCCGACAGGGGAGACTGGGTGGTGGCAAAGGGCTTGGGGAGAATTAGCGCGGCCCGGCCCGCAGCGGCCCCCGCTCCGCCCGCGCTGCCAGGGCCGCTGGGCGCAGCATCCCGCACCCCGCGTCCCGCGTCCCTATTTTTAGCCGCCGCAGCCGGCCAGTCACGTGCGCGTGGGCGGCGCCCAGGAGCGCCCCGCCCCGCCCCGCACCCCGCAGCGCGCAGCCGGTCGGGCGGCGGGATGAGGACCTGGAGCTCTCAGCACGTGTTCGGGTGAGGCCGGGCTGCGGGCCGCGGTGGGGTCCGCGCCGGCGGGGGCGGCCTGGAAACGGCAGGACCCCGGCGCGTCTCGGCATCCCGGAGCGGCCCCGCAGTCCGCTCTGGGGGGGGCGGGGCGGCGGGGCCCGCGAGGGGTGCGGGGCGGGTGCGGGGCCCGCCACGGGATGCCGGCAGGGGGTGCGGCAGGGCGGCGGGGCGGGGATGGGGGCATGGGGGCGGCGGGGCGGGGCGGAGGCCCGCGAGGGGTGCGGGGTGGGGGCCTCCCTCCTCTGGGGGGCCGGCTGTGGGAGGCCTGCGGAGCCGGCTGGGTCCCCGCTGGGGTGGTCGCACACGTGCGGGTGTCTTATGGAGGGTCGGGAGGAAGCTGAGCGGGAAGGGGCGCGGGGGTCTCGGGTCTGGGTGCGCTGGCGGGCGTGGAGAGGTCTCCGACAGCCTGCAAAGCGCCAGCTGCTTAAAAGTGCGCTCCTGACCGAAATGCAGTCTTCCCTTAGATCAGTCGTCTGCACCGCTGAAGTCACTCTTTAATATATTTTTTAAAGGAACAAAGATTTTCACTGACCCCACTTAGAAAGGCCTTTCGTTTTTGGAAAAATAAAATAAATACTGCCATGAACACAATTGTCATCCTGTTTGAAATGTAAAATTGTAATAAAAATTTATCAAGCGGGTTTCAAAACCTCCAAAATTATTTTTCATGAAATCTTTAGACTTGATGGGATCTAAATATTTTGGACAGCCTGCAGCTTTTCTCAAGTGAGGTTCCTTGGGAGACCAGGTAGGGCATCATCTGCGCCACCTGGATGCCAAGGGAAGGCAAGCCATCACCTTCCGCAGCGTCCTGGCGTTGGGGCTCAGTTTCCTCTTGGAAGGCTGGAGTCTGCCCCAGGGGCTTGTGAAATGGCGCTGGACATGCATAAATGAATTGCCAGTTGAAAATTTTTACAGCTGCCAACTGCCATTTATTTTTTAAGCTTTATTGAAGCATATTTTATATGCTGTAAAATTCATCCATTTTAAGTGTACAATCTAGTAAGTTTTAGTAAATTTACAGAAATTTAAATTTCTAGTAAATTGTGCAGCTGTCACTGTAGTTCATTCTTAGAACACTTCTATCATCCTGCAGAGATCGGCCATGTGCCCTGGCCATCAGTCCGGGTCCCCACCCCAGTCCCAGGCAACCTCTAATCTGCTTTCTGGTTCTATAGCTTTGCCTTGTCTGGACAGTGCATAGAAATGTGATCATACGCGCACTGTTTTGTGTCATTTAGCATAATTTTCTTGAGGTCTACCCATGTGGTAGCATGTGTCAGTGCTTCCATCCCCCTTTCACAGTTGTATCTAGTGGTGCTCAGTAGGATTGAGGACGGTCACATGGAGACTAGATGCCCTTTCAAAATGAGGGCAGTTCTCCACCAGAGGAATCTCAGTCATCCCTGAGCTGCTGTAGGCTGGGTGCTCATCTCCTGTCATTGATTTTCGAACTTAAAGCAAAGGGCTGGAACGAAGCTTGACGAACGTGGCATGTGGCTGGCTGAGGACGATGTCCCTGGCCTCTGGCTGGACAGGTTGTGAGGGACATGCTGTTGTGCCGCGGTATAGCATCCATTTGACAGTACAGGAAGTGTGGAAAATTGGAAGCCTGGCTTTCCAGCTGAGCCTATTTTGTTTTTCCTTTGCTTAGTCCATTGAAGTCACTCATTTTTTTTTTCTTTTGAAGATTATAGAACTTTCTCTTTTTTTTTCTGTACTTTTGGATGTTGTACTGTCAGGTGAATATTTGATTGGAAATTAATAAATTTACTCTTGAAAGGCAAGAAATTGGCTGGGCACAGTGTCTCATGCCTGTAATCCCAGCACTTTGGGAGACTGAGAGAGAGGATCTTTTGAAGCCAAGAGTTCTAGATCAGCCTTGGGCAACACAGCAAGACCTTGTCTCTACAAAACAAAACAAAAAAATCATCCGGGTGTAATGGCATGCCTGCAGTCCCAGCTACTTGGGAGGCTGAGGCAGGAAGATCACTTCAGCCCAGGAGTGTGAGGCTGCAGTGAGCTCTGATCCGGCCACTGTACTTCAGCCTGGGCAACAGAGTAAGACCTGGCTCTAAAACATAAAATAAAGTAAATAAAAAGAAAGGCAAGATAAATTAGGCACAAACACTTCTGATCTTATCCAGTTTTCTTCCTGTGCCCATATCCAGAAGAAACTCCGGAGGCCCGCAGATCCGGCATAGCGAGGTGCAGTGTAAACACTGCTGCAGAAGCAGGGAGCCCAGGGAACCCAGCCGAGTTAATATGTGTGAAACTTAGTCAGGGTTTTAAATAATTTAAATAGTAATTAAAAATATAGGGCCAAAATATAGAAATGGGCATTTAAAAATGAACAGGGCTTATAAATTTCTTCCTCCCAGCATCGACTGAAGTTTCAGGCAGACCTGTGACAAAATCTTCAATAACAGAGTCTGTCACAAGCAGATTTCCTGCAGGATTTGAGGCTGTCCACACCTTTGATTCCTGTAACTGCCAGGAAAGGTCTGGTGGTGTCCACTGCAGGGCAGTAAGGGCTTTGGGGCGGGGGGGCTGAAGCAGGCTTGCGTCCTAGCCAAGAGCAGGGAAGGGAAATTGAATGTTACAGGTAAGAGTTGAAGGGCACACTCTTCCCCACCGGCAGCTGAGGGGATGAATTTCGAGGTATTCTTCTGCAGGTCTGTGTCACAGACTGCATTTATGTGTGTGTGTGTGTGTGTGTTCATATTTCATGTAATATTATTTGTTTTTCTGAAAATAGAAATCAATGGCATCTCGTACAAATCTTTTGGCAGTTTTTCTTCTCAACAGTATGTTTTTGAGATCTGTCCATGATGAGATTTGTATCTGTAGATAGCTACATAAATAGACATAGATCTAGATGGATTATAATAGCTATATGAATATGCTACCATTTGTCCTTTCTCTTATGAAGCGCATTAAGTTTTCCCCTTCTTACAGATCTTACTGCAGTGGCCAGCCCAGTGTATGTTTCTGGTCCACTTAATCGAGGGCCCACTAAGGCTGCAGATCTCAAGCTCTTTAGCCTCAAGACCTTCTTACACTCTTAGAAAATATTGGGGACCCCCAAACAGTTTTTGTTTATGTGAGTTATATCTATCAATATTTGCCATATTAGAAATTAAAATTGGGAAATTTAAAAATATTAATTGATTGGAATTAACAATAATACACTGACAGCTGTTTTTTGTTTTTGCTAATGTCCACACTGTCTGTCTTAACGCGGATGGCTTGATATTCCTGTCTACTTCTGCATTCAGTGTTTTGCAATGTATTGTTCTGGCTGAAGTGTATGGATAAACCCCAGCCTCACACAGATAGGTAGTTGGAAAAGGTAAGAGTTAGTATTTTCATAGTCTTTTAAAGTCATTGAGTCCATTCTTTGCTACTGTGACGACAAAACAAGTGTTAACGATATAAAGTCTGCGCAACAAGTTGCGATATAAAGTCTGAAACCATAGTGAGCACAGTAATAAGCTCTTACATTAAAACTCCCATTGGCCTGTCATGCACTTGAGTGTCTTTAACCCATGCATGAGTAGTGTCCTTTGGAGTATGTGCCTCCATGGAGTTTACAGTTTAGGTCAGTCATCCAGCTCATGGTAGCAGGTACAAGTTTTCTAAAATTACAGTTTTCATTTGAAAGCTAAACATTTTTCTTTGGCAGCAAATGCTGTCAGTTGCTTTCCTTGAATCAACAGGCTCAACTTGTTAATTTTTGAGAAAATGTCTGCCAGATCCCCCAGTCTTCATTAGCAAGGTTTGTTCCTTTTTCTTTCAAGTACAAGAGGCAGGTGGTGCCCCAGGGCAGCCAGTACTTGGTCCTCAGCAGCAGAATCGCTTCTTTTGCACTTCCTGTTCTCTGGCACAGAATATCTAAGAGAAGAATACTCAAGGGTCCAGCTGTAATAAAAATTAATTACTTTGGCCGGGCACAGTGGCTCACACCTATAATCCTAGCACCTTGGGAGGCCAAGGCAGGTGGATCGCTCAAGGTCAGGAGTTCGAAACCAGCCTGAGCAAGAGCAAGACCCCATCTCGACTAAAAATAGAAAGAAATTAATTGGCCAACTAAAAACATATATAGAAAAAATTAGCCGGGCATGGTGGCGCATGCCTGTAGTCCCAGCTACTCGGGAGGCTGAGGCAGGAGGATCGCTTGAGCCCAGGACTTTGAGATTGCTGTGAGGTAGGCTGATGCCACGGCACTCTAGCCAGGGCAACAGAGTGAGACTGTCTCAAAAAAAAATTAATTACTTTACCATTTCATCAGTTCTTCTTGCTTCTCGAGCGCTCCGTGGTGACGGCTCACGTGCGGCTTGGAGCCTGCCCTGGTGCAGGGAGGACAGCAGCACTTTCCTCCACTGCTTTCACAGCGTCAGAGCAAGTGTCCTTGCTGCAAAAATGGCCAGTCATATCTGAGAAGCACCATGACAGTTTTAGCCTCACACACCTCCTGAAAGCACCCAGGAGCCTCCAGGGTATGTGGCCCCCACACTAAGAAGCCTGAAGTCGCTTGGTGGTGGGAGTAGCTTGCTCTTTGTCTTCTTTGTAGCTGCCTACATCTTTTTACTATGGACATTTCAGAAGTATGCAAATGTGGAGAGACTAGAATACAGAAACGTGGGCACCACTGCCCAGGTCTCCAGTTACCTGGCAGCCAGTCTCAGCTGGGTTTCCTCTGTCCCCCGCCCCCAGTCCACTGCTCCCTTCACTGGGTTACTGTAGGCAAATCCCAGACCTCCTTTGTCTTCCCAGCACCCTGGCAGCGTGGGCACCAGCACGCACCCTCACACTGCAGGCGTGTGCAGGCTGCTACCCCAAGGTGGGGGGCTGCAGGGGCCTCCCGCTCTCAGGATTCAGACTCCACCAGAGGCTCTCAGCTGCCTGGGTGGGGGCCACTAGCTCATGGGTAGGCAATTCTCCGCTCCTGAAAATTCGCTTCAGCAAATTCCTGGTGCACCTAAACTGGGCAGCTGAGAGCCCTGGCTAGTGGTGGGATGTCCATTTTCGGCTTCTGTAGGCAAAGTGCTCTCCCAAGTGCCGGTGCCAGTTCGCGTGTCCGCCAGCACTTCGCGTCTTCCTACTGCCCAGACTCTTTCCAATACTTGATATCGTCAGATCTTTCCATTTTTGCTAGTTGGATGGATGTCAAGCTATTTTCTTGAACCAAGGTGTGTGCCATTGATTTGCTGTGCTTAGACCTGGTCATTTTACTCGTTCTTTTCTTTTTTAAATTTTACCATGAGTTAAGACCTTGTCATTTTAAAGATGTTCTTATTACATTTGTCCTTTTCCTCTGTTGTCTGTAGATGTCTGTATTGTGCAGTCATCCTGCTATAAGTGGTGGAAGTATTTATCATATGCATATTGTAAGCAGGTTGCATTTAGTTTAAATCATCAACCAGAAAGATGCAAGATTTTATATAAAATAAATATTGTTTGAGATAAACTTAATTCAAGTTTATCTCAAACTAGGATAAGCTGAGATATATTTATCTTTGCAAGAGGCTCGTAGGCTTGCTAGTGGAGAGCACATCCTGAAGGAAGCACAGATTAGGACAATTAGTGACTCCTCAGCGGTCTGGGGCAGGTCCGTGCTGGACACCGGTGGTGGCCCCTCACTCACCTCCCATCAGATGCCCTGGAAAGCAGTGGGCCGCTGGGGGCCTCTCTGATGGCAGGAAGTAGAACAGGGAAAGCTACTCGTTCTCCTCAGCACAAGAGCTCAGGGCCACGGATGGAGGGTGGCATCCTCAAGGGACTTGCAGGGTTGGGAGCCTGCATCACAGGTGCACCTGGTGCTGGCCACACTCAGGCCATCACTGTCCTGGGCGTCACCATCGTTCCAGGCTGGAGGGGACGCGGGGAGAATTGTGCCTTCTAAGGCAGGTGTGTTGTTCTATGAAGGTATTGTCCAGCTGCCAGGTGGAGGTGGCCAAGTAGGGCCAGGAGCCCGGCTGGAAGTGGCAGTCCAGCCTTCGTTCCCTGCAGGCTCCCCGCTGCGCATTCCCTGTGGACAGAATGGCGGTGGGGACATGCTGCGAGGACAGAACTGCCACCGCCCGAAGCCCCGCACGAAAGGGCTCTGCCTCTTTCTGGACTGGGAGAGGCCGGGCCGGAGGAGGCAGGGCCGGGAGAGGCAAGGCCCCGCGTGGGAGTGGAGGACGCCTTGCCCAGCGGGACGGGGGGACGGCGCGGGTGGACACGGAAACACCCCGCTCGCGCGGCGCTTGTGTCTCCCCAGACACCCGTGGGACGCGGTGGCGCAGGCGGCCATGCGGAAGTACCCGAACCCGATGAACCCGAGCGTGGTGGGCGTGGACGTGCTGGAGCGCCGCGTGGACGGCCGCGGCCGGCTGCACAGCCTGCGCCTGCTCAGCACCGAGTGGGGGCTGCCCGCGCTCGCGACGGCGGTGAGCCCCGCGCGCGCCGCCCGCCGCCCGCCGCGCGCCGCCCCGCGCCCCCGTCCCCGCCGCCGCCGCCGCCGCGCCCGCGCGCCCGTCCCGCGCCCCCCGCGCGCGCCCGCCCGCGCGCGCCCGCCCGCGCGCCCCGCCCGCGCGCCCGCGCGGCCTCCTCCGCTGGGCTGGCGGCGTCCCGAGAGGCCCGCGTCCCAGCCGCCGGCGGGTGCGGGTCAGGCTCGGCAGGAGCTGCAGGGCCGCCGCCCGGCTGCAGCAGCCTCCCCAGGCGCGCGGCTCACGCCAGGCGGCAGGATCGCTGGACGTGAGGAGTGGCTCGCAGCTTCCCCAGGGCCAGCGGGGAGCGCGCGGAAGACGCAGATCCAAGACGGCCGCCCTGTCCAGACCACCCGCGGCCCTCCGGGTGGAGCGGCGCGGCCCGAGGGACGCGGCCCCCACGCCTGGGCCGCACCCCGGTCCAAGTAGCTCTCCCCTGCTCCCAGCCTCACCTGGCTTACTTCGGGTCTGGCCTTCGGTCGCTGCGTCTGTCTGCCCCGTGTCCGGCCCCTGGCGCGGACGCGCACCGATGACAGGGCTCTGTCTCTTCTGCTGGCCCGGCCATAGCGTGTGTAGAATAAGTGGATTAATGAGCCAAAGAGATGTTCGGTGTTTCATGATATGAAATGGAATTTTTAACACACCACTATGCTAATTTTGCTTTGTTTTTTAGATTTTGGGAACCAGCAGGACTTTGACATACATCCAAGAACGTTCTGTCGTGGATCCAGTGGAAAAGAAAATGGAACTTAGTTCCACCAATGTAAGCGATGGTCTGAAACGAGAAAGGTGCTTAGTACTTCTTGTTGGTAATGGTGCATTATGCCTTCGTTTAATTTTATTTCCTGCCCACCTTCGGTCTGAATGATTGCTTATTTTTAATAGAAAGGCTGAATTTGTTTAGTAGTATTTTGTGTTTTTATTCAAGTACAATAAATGTATAGAAAAATGCACATGATGAATTGTCACAAAGTGAGCACACCTCGCAACCAGCAGGCAGATCAAGCAACAGAAAGTGACCAGCCCCCCAAGAATCCCTTATGCAAATTCAGAGGAGGTGTTGGGGAGAGGGGCTAGGACAATGATTTGCACCATGAAATATTGCTTATTTTCAGCAAATGTGGAAATGGGCTGTGGTGGGCAGAATCGTCCCACAGTGCCCATCTCAGAGTTCTCCTTCCTCCTGCCCCCGAGGGTGCACCTTCTCTGTCCCATGAGCCATGGTGCCGGTTTGAGTCAGGGCTCATTTATTGGTCCACTGGTGGTATCAGGTGCTTGCCAGGTGCCCAGCATTGTGCTAGGGGAAGGGAATGCAAGGATCTTTTAACTTAAGAGATGTTCCTGCCGTTGCCAGCCTTCTCATCCTAGGAGTGGACATACAAACAACCCAGAGGGCAGGAGTCCCTGAAGCGACCTCGTGAGAGCTTCATAGAGGCATTGACCAGGAGGTGGGGACCTAAAGGCTCGCGGGGGTTTTCCAGGCAGAGAGCTGTGCACAGATGGCATTGGAGACTGCCAGGGGAGATGACGTGGGAGAGATGAGGCCAAAAGGGCAGGGACAAGACTATGGAAGGTAGAGGAGCTGGAAGTCTTTTGTGCAGTAATAGGGAGCCATTGAGAGTTTGTTGCAGGAAGGTGATGTCTTTGGGTTGTGTGCTAGGAAGGGTAGTCACCCTGGCAGCTTTGTGGAACGAGGGCAGGGGGTGTTGGGACTTAAGCCAGGGAGACCAGCAGTCCAGGTGGCAGTAGTCCAGGTGAGAGGTGGCAGGAGGGTGCCGGGGCGGGACATAGGGAGTAAGGGAATGGGAGGGTCAGTTAAGGTGTGACTCTGCCATCTGGTTTGGGCACTGAGTGGGACTGTGGTGCTGTCATGGGGCTCAGGTCTGAGAAGAGAGAGGAAGTCTGGTTTTGGACATCTTGAGTATGAAGTCTCTGCAGGGTGCCCTGCATGGTAGACTGGGGAGTGTCCAGGTTGAATTTGAGAATGTGGGGGTGGGGGTTGCTGTGGTGAGGGAGGGGGTGACCCGGGCCCAGGGGCAGGCAGGGCCCGGAGTGGGGACAGTGCTGAGTAGCACCAGGGAAGTCGCCCATCCTCTCAGCATCTTCTGTGCAGCCCAGTGTTGGAAACAAGACAGCCACCTGGGCCTTGAGGTTACTCACCCCAACCCAAAGGACATCTCAGGAGCATGGGACTTGCAAGGAGGTGTGGGAACCTCTCTCTTGCCTCTGTGCTGTGCTGTGGCTCTACCCTTTGCCCATCTGGGAACACCTTCCAGAGGAGGAATCGGAGTGAGTCCCTGTGGGCTGAGAGATGAGGTTCTGAACCACTTGTAGGATGAAGCCAAACTCTTTGCATATCAACTGGACCTTTGCCATCAGCCCCTGTTCTGCTTGGGCCCCTTGTCCCAGGCAGTCCTGCTATATAAAGTCATAGGAGCCTATCAGGGTCCACACTGGCCAGTCCCCTTTTGCCATTCCTGACAATTTAGGGATTCTGTTCTCTCTGCCTAGAAAGTCCTTCTTGGGAAATTCCACCAATCCTTTCAGAAGGCTCAGTTGCCAGCCAAAAGGGACAGATTATGCTGCAGTGAGGTCTAGTGGAAAGGAAGCAGGGTTTGGAGGAGGACAGGTGTGTGCAATGATCACCTGATGGTTGGATGACTTTGGGGGTGTTATTTACCTTTTCCAAGGATTACATTTCTTGCATAAAAAAAGAAAGACTAAACCTCATAAGATTGTATTTTCAAAACCTCATTTCCCTTCATTAACAGTGATTAGCATAAAAAATATTGCACATAAGATTACAACAGCTAATCAGAGTATAATTGTTAATAGGTATTATTAAATATTTCTATATAATATAATAACTGTATATTATGAGACTCCTTTGCTAACTCTGTGCTCAATAGGAAGAAGGAGAGATTCCCTGCTAATGACTTCCATCGGGACTGTCAGACCAGGGAGGCTTTTGGGGAGAGATTATTACATGAGTAAAACATAAACATTTACCACTGCTGAAAGGCTAGCTTGCTTTTGACTACTTAAAATTAAAAAAAAATTTTTTTTTGGAACTGGCTCTTTGAGAAGAGGGTAGATTGGGTTAACAATTATACAATTTTAGAGCTCCATTGTCTGGTGTGGCAGCCACCAGCCACATGTGGCTATTTAAATTCAAATTAATTAGGACTAAATAAAATAAAAATTCCATTCCTCAGTCACAGGAGCCACATTTCAGGTGTTCATTAGCTGTATGTGTTTGTGTTCACCACATTAGACAGCACAGATATAGGACATTGCTATTGTCACAGAAAACTCTGTTGGACAATGTTGTTCTGGAGCTCCAGTTTTTAAGTAGGTTTTAATAGTAAATATAAATGTAAATGGGGAGTTCATCTGGTTACAGGAAGTGGTACTGGGGGAGATAAGACCTCTACCTTTATAGACTTTGTGTAGATTCAGGGTTCTGTCCCATCCAGTCCCAGGAGACAGTGCTCCAGGCTCTGGCAGGTTGGGGAAGAGCTTTCTGCTCACCTGCCTGGACACTGAGGACTGTTTTGTCCTTTTCTACAGTTGTTGATGGATTGGGCAGTTTGAAGGTACTTTGAAGGCCAGACCTCTGCTCAGGTATGGGGTCGGATGTGAAGAGAGGGCAGATGACAATTGCTAGAAGGAGCAGCTAAGCTGTGGTTTCCCTAGGATTAATGTGGTAATACCTCCTGTGCCTAAAAGTTCTTCTGTTCTGGCTCCAATAAGCACGAATTTGGTGATGGAAGAGTATGGGCAGATGGTTTGGGAAGAAAGACGGGAGAAATAGAACCTAAAAAGAACTATTGTTTCTTTTTTTAAAGATTACACTCACAAATTTGGTGTCAGTTAATGAGAGGTTGGTGTACACACCTCATCCAGAGAACCCAGAAATGTGAGTCATCTCATCCTGGGATTGACACGTTGCATGCCACGGGTGAGGGTGGGGCAGAGTCTCCCTCTCATGGCACTGGTTATCCCCTTTACTTCTTGCTCTTCTGCAGGACTGTGCTCACACAAGAAGCTATCATCACCATAAAGGGGATTAGCCTTGGCAACTATTTGGAAAGTTTAATGGCCAACACAATATCATCCAATGCAAAGAAGGTACTTACTTCGGTCCCAGGGGCCCTGTGTGTGCTCTAGTTAAGTGTCAGATTAGGAGGGTGATATTTTTAGTCCCATAAATGCTGCTGAGTGTTGGGAGTCTACATCTGTGCTGAGCTTATAATGCCACAGTGTTTCCCACAGTTACATTCAAAACCAGTGTTAGGGAAAGGCTGGCCTGGTCTGAAGGGAATTGTGTCTGTGGAAGCCAAGGAAGCCATGGGGTTACTCTTTTTAGTAGGGAAAGTGTGAGGTAAACGTGGACTGTAAATCCAGCCAAGGCAACTACCACTTCAAAGAGCCCAAGTATCATCGGCTCATTTACCAAAGCAAACAGACCCCAACATCAGAAAGATAATATACGTTAACACTGTCAGGCAGGATATTTGGGACTTTTGGTAGTTTCGTATTTAATAGGCATTAAATGACTTTGGCTGAATCTTGCCAGCTGTGAGGCTTCCCTGGAGTCAGCTGCCATCTGTGCATCTTGCCTCTGGCAGGATTTGGGAATAAGCTTTGGGGAGGTGAGAGGAGAAAGGGTGGACCCCAGGAGGCTGTCCAGGGCTCCTCTTTTGTGCCTGGGTCCCTGGGGTGGAGGCACAGGTTGTTCAAGAAGTCCAGACTTCCCTCCCCTCCGGCAGAGTTGATGGAAAGAGCTTGGATGTTTGGAAGGATAATGTTCCTTAAATTCAAGGTGATGTCACTGACTAGAATAGAGCCTTTGCTTTCACCTTGGTTCACTTCACAGGCATGTGTCCTCCCCTCGTCAGTGCTCCTCCCTGACTCTCCCCTACTTCTTTTTGGGTCTAGAAGTGAATATTTTTGGGATAAGTGGGGTGATGCCTGAGGCTGTACCTCCCCTCCCAGTGCCCTTCCATGCCTAAGTCTCTAATGAGTGGAAAACCACGTATGGCTGCATTTAGTCTAGTCACTGATAAAAGAGCCATTCTACCTGGATTTTGTAGAAGAATGCAGATTTGAGAAATACAGGCAGCATCTTAGGTTTCAGGGGAGGAAGGGGAAAGCCCTAACTGGCAGAGCTTGTCTGTAGTGGAGTCCCCATGGGTGGAGACAGCATTGTACTCATCTTGTGTTTCCAGAACTTCGCTTGGGGCAGGAGCCCTAAATGTTTACAGAAAGAAAGAATATCTTGTAGGAGGAAGGGAATACTCAGTGAGGCCAAAACCATCGTAAACTACTTCTTTGAGAAGAAAATCAGTGAGGCCAAATTGGCTTTCCCATGTGCGCTTTACTAGGGGTTGTCGTGTTGTGGGCTTAACCACTTCGGTGGCAGGCTCACCGGCCGCGACACCTGGCCCACAGCCGCTCAGTCCACACGTAGTGTGCGCTGTGCACTGACGGTGAGTCCTCTTGCTCTTGTGTGGTGAGGAAAGCTTCAAAGCACTGAACACTTGCTTTACTTCACAGGCAGCTTTACTTGTCATGTAAATCCGAATAGGGAACATAGACATACAGGTTTTCATTACGTTATTTTTAAATGTTCACAATTTTATTTTGATAAATGAAAACTTAGAAAAGTCATAGCACGCTGTCGGCTAACGTGGCTATGTTCATCTGTGGCTGCCGGCCACAGCCTGGCTCCTGCCGAGGTGGTCAGGAGGGAATCGCCGGGCCGGCCAGCAGCCCGGGGCAGGTGC